GCAAACCATCGCGTACATAAGACTACCAATGGCTGATGAATATGGCACCTTGCTCATGTGCTCCTTCTCCGCATCTGTCTTGGGTGATTGCTCTTCAGATAACTTGAACTAACTTTTAAGGGGTGTGCCAACTGACTTAACATTCTTCATGTTGAACCTCTAAAGTACCTTCTCGATATATTCAGCTTGACTCAACTTTAACGTCCCTTCATCTTCATCTCTACTGATTCGCATCCCAATAATTTACTTCGCTACACCCTGATCCTTCATAGCAAATTCCTTCGCCAATTACATCTTCAATTTGTTTCTCTCTTCTAAACACGGTCCTGCAACTAACATGTCATCAACATACAATAATAACATGATATAGCTGAATTCAAACCTTTTGAAGTAGCAACAATGATCTGAATTGCATCTTCGATAGCCATTGCTCTATATGAAGTTATCAAACTTCTTGTACCACTGTCTCAGAGCCTATTTTAATCTGTACAAGCTCTTCTTGAGCTTACACACTATCTCTTACTTTCCTTCTTCAATGAAACCAACAGGTTGCTTCCTGTAGATTTTTTCATTCAAGTCACCATGAAGAAAGACAGTCTTCACATCTAACTTCTCAAGATCGAGATCTTCTGCAGCTACTAAGGTCAACACCACTCTAATGGTTGTAAGCTTCACAACGGGAAAAAATATCTCATTGTAATCATTGTACCTCTTGTTTCCATCACTCTTCTGCTTGACCCGATAGACTCATTTATTATGTAAGGCTTTCTTCTGTGCAGATAGCTGAGCTAACTCTCATGTCTCATTAGTGTGTAAAGAATCTATCTTTTCTTTCATTGCATGCTCCCACTGCTAAAATTCACTAACTTGCATAGCCTCCTCATAGCACTCTGGTTCACCACTATCTGTCAAAAGTAAATAATCAAGTGATGAGAGATATTTGAGATTCGATTTGAGTACTCTGGATGACCTCCTAAGCTCCACGTCCTGGATAGTTATCTTTGAACCTGGAGTCACCTTAGTTCTTCGGTCAGAACTGATGTTGTCGCCCTCATCTAGAAGTTCTCCCAAATCCATGTACTCAGATCCACCTGCATCTGTAGTATTGTTCCCACTGGTTTAGCTATTCTTGGCATTGCCCCTGTCCTTGTACATCACCTTCTCATTGAATATCACATCTCTGCTTCTGATGATTTTTCCTATTCTTCTCATCCTACGGACGATATCTGAACTCACCAATGTCATATCCAATGAATGTACACTTCTCTAACTTAGCTTCTATCTTATCCCTAACATGGTCACTGATATAAACATATGCCACGCAGCCAAATACTCAAAAGTGTGAGAGATTAACCTTCTTGCTACTCCAAATCTCTTCTGGAATTCTAAATCCAATGGAACTGATGGCCCATGATTAATCAGATAAGCTAACGTATGCACCACGTCTGCCTAAAACGTGTTAGGTAGACCTGCATGTAGACGCATACTCCTTGTACACTCTATCAATGTCCTGTTCATCCTCTCTACAACGCCGTTCTATTGCGGCGTCTCTTGAGTAGTCCTCTCCAAACGAATCCTATTTAGAGCACAGAACCTCTTGAACTCTTCCAGCTCGTATTCTCCACCATTATCCGATCTGAGACACTTTACCTTCAGATCTGTCTTGTTCTCCATCATGGCTTTCTATTTCTTGAAGATCCTGAACACCTCTGACTTGTGCTTCATGAAGTATACTCGCACCTTCCTCGAGTGATCGTCAATAAAGGTGACATAGTACGCCAAACCGCCAAGAGAAGACACGCTAGCTGGACCCCATACATCTGTATGAACAAGCTCTAGATTCTGAGCTTTAGGTGGCCTTCCACTCTTCTGAAAACTGATCCTCTTCTGCTTCCTGTAGATGCAGTCCTCGCAAACAAGAACTTCTACAGAATCGATGTCGGTTAGCTTTATCTGAGAGTGTAGATTCTTCATACCCTTCTCACTCATGTGTCCTAACCTTTTGTGTCATAGATCTGCACTCTCCTTGCTATCTACAATTACGAGGATGTCACTCGCATGTGAAGTGATGTAGAGAGTTTCTTTTTTGTTATCACGGGCAACCACTATAGTACCATTGGAGATTTTTTACGAATCTCCGGTGAATATTGAAATATAGTCTTCTGCTCTAAGCTGTCCAACCGAAACAAGATTCCTCTTTAGCTTTGGTACGTGTCTGACATTCTTTAGATTCTACTTGGAGCCCTTTATCTGAATCTGCATGTCGCCTCTCTTCCAATAAAACTGCAAGGCTCGTTGTCCCCGAGTACACTTTCCCAAAGTCCCCTACTACATAGTTCTGAATAAGCTTCCTATTAGCAGTGGTGTGGAATGAGAGTCCTGAGTCAATAACCTAAGAATCAGAATTGCTGTCCATATCAAGGATCAAGGTATCTTGCAAGATATGAGCCTCCTGCTCATTCGCATCATTCTTTTGTACTTTACATACTGAAGACATACGGCCTTCCTGGCCGTAGTTCCAACGCTTCCCTTTGGTAGGCCTAACCTTCGAGTTCAATCTCTTCTTTTTTGATTTTGACTGATTCCTATTCTGGTTACCCTTCTTTTGGCTTCGACTTATTTGTTCGAGATTTAGGGCTAAACCTGAACCTTCAGATTCAGGTGATTTTCTTCTAACCTCATCGGATAGAATCATACTAACAACCTCGCTTAGCTTCAACTTCTCCTTCCCAGCCAAGTTGCTAATTGCGGTCGTGCAACCTGTCCAACTATCCGATAACTGTGATAGAATCAATAGGGTCTACACTTCATCATCAAACGTGATGTCAACGGAGATAAATTTGTTAACAATCATGTTGAACTCGCTGAGGTGCATCGTGAAGGAGCATCCTTCTGCCATCTTGAGGTTTAAGAGCGTTTAGATGAGATGCACTTTTTTTGCGGCTGACGGTTGCTCGTACATCTTCGCTAGAGCTTCCATAAGCTCCACCGTCCTCTTCTCTTTCAATATATTATGGGTGACCAATTTGGCGACCGATAACCGGATTTGCCCTAAAGCCTTCCTATCCAGTATTTCCCACTCTTCGTCTGATTCCTCCTTCTTTCTCTTTGTCTTGCCCATCAACGGATGGTAAAGATCCTTCTGGTATAGATAGTTCTCAATCTACAACTTCCAGTATGCGAAGTCTGATCCGTCAAACTTCTCGATCTTTGATTTTCATTCCTCTGCCATGGTTCTCGCACAAATCTTCTGAACGAAGCTCTAATACCAGTTGTTGGGGGTTTGAAACAATCAATCGAACCCGTGCCCTTTCGGACCTTGTGCTAAGAGTTTAGCAAGTAGGAAAATCACCACAAATAAAAAAATTTATAGGAAAGATAAACAAGAAAGAACACACCAGATTAACGAGGTTCAGCAACGTGCCTACGTCATCGAGAGCCACACCACACAATTCTTTGATTAATTTGAAGAAGATTACAATGCCCACAAATAGGTTTTTATCTCTCTGAGATTTCTCTGAAAGAATCATCTCAAAACCCTCTTTTTCATGTGTTCTACAAACCCTAAAAACGTTTAGGTATATATAGGATCCCAGCCCAAAACAAAATCCCAAACAAATCAGGAAACGAAAAATCCCGACATCGGTTGACCGGACCAATGGCTTCGGTCGACCGGCCCAATGGCTTTGGTCGACCGGACCAATGGCTTCGACCGACCGACCAGAGTGTTAATTTTACATGGTCTGCTCGTGCACATTTTTGGTCGACCAGAGTTCTCTTGTCAGTCGACTGACTAGAGCTCAATTCTGGGCTTAGATTTCTTCAGGGTTTTCGATCGACCGGACCATCCCTGTCGGTCGACCGGCCAGAGCGAGCTTCTCACGCTTGTTTCTTGCTGGCATTGCGGTCGACCGGATCTCCTCCGTCAGTCGGTCGAACTAGGTTTTTCCAGTTTTCTTCGTTGATTTCATTCCAGATTTGGTCTACACTCTCGACACTAACATAAAGCTGAATGCCAACACGTTAATCCTCAGAGAAAATACTAGTAGAATCAATAATCTAAGCCCCCTTTGTCAGTATTCAAATTGAAACTTTTTTTTCTCACTTAACCATACGTGCGCCATGTGCATCAACCAAATATCCTTTCAAATTTCTGAAGGATAATACATAATTACAAAGTCTTTTAGGGAAGTGATAAGATCACCGCATGGCATAACCCTTCGCTGTCCAATACAGCAAGGGCTAGATTTTTTATCAACTTGCAACCCGTCGTGTTCTTTCATCAAATGGCCCTCTCCGTTCTTTTTAATTCTAATCTGAAGGCTGATAGTGGTAGGCCAATTGATTATGATATCAAGCAGGCCCTGCAAAAGTTTCTCTTATTAAAGCTCAATGGCTCCACAATATCCTTGCTTGAATAGGCATGTTTGTGTTGCGTTCGTTGTTGAGTAACTTTGTAGGGAGGATTGAAAGAGCGTTATTTAACCTAATTGTGGAGCTTATTCTTGCCAAGAAAATAATTCCTTCACGAAAAAGTTTTAGTTGCTTGTATGATCTCTCTGCTCACAGCGTGTCTGCTAATCTTATTGTAGTGGGTTCATAAACTCTGATCACACACTAATAACTAACTAACAGCAAACAACTCACCCCCACACACAAACACACACTAACATGCAGGCACGACGCAACACGTTTAACTCAACATTCTCCCCCTTAAACTTGTTGTATCTTCTTCACATTTATTACCACGATCTTGGTCTGCAGCTCGACGAATCTCTTATGCCCAAGAGGTTTTGTTAGAACGTTGGCAAGCTGTTCTCCCGTTTTCACATACTCCACTTCGATCTTATTCTTCTGGACACAATCACGTATGAAGTGATACTTTGTTTCTATATGTTTGCTTCTTTCAAGGTACATCGGGTTCTTCGTGAGAGCAATGGTTGACTTGTTATCAATTTTGAGAATAGTCGTCACATTCTTCTCCCCAATCAACTCTCCCATCAGGCGACCCAACCAAACTCCTTGGCAAGCAGCTGCCTGGTAGCTACATACTCCGTTTCACAAGAGGATAACGCCACCACTCTTTGTTTTCGCGACACCCAAATGATTGGGCTTGCACCAAGAAAGTATATGACTCCCGTGGTGCTCTTGCAGTCGTCAACATCTCCAGCGAGATCACTATCACTATACCTTATCAACCATGTTTCTGACTCCTTCCTTATTCCATAGACGCAACCATGATTGATGGTACCTCGCACATAACGCAGTATTTGTTTCACTACTGCCATATGAGTTGTAGTTGGAGCTTCCATGTATCTACTCACCACCCCAACAAAGTATGCAAGATCTGGCCTGGTATTTACTAGGTACCGTAGACTCCCGACGACACTTCTATACATGAAAGTGTCAACTGACGGGCTTGCATCCGTCTTTCTCAGCTTCATTCTCGGCTCCATGGGAACTTGGCACTGGTTGAAATCTGCTAACTTCAGCTTCTCTTGGATCGTCATAGCATGCCCCGACTGACTTATTGTTATTGCATTCGGATCCTACCTCACCTCAAACCCAAGATAGTAACTCAAGAGCCCGAGATCACTCATCTCAAACATTCTCTTCATTTGCTGCTTGAACTGCACAATGTCCTTGATATTTCATCCGGTGATGATGAGATCATCAACATAAACCCCCACAACCTAAACTACAGTACCTTGCCGCCTTTTGTACACCACAAGATCGAGAGGACACCTTTCAAAGCCGAGTGACTAAAGACATTTTTCAAGCATTGTATTCCAAGCGCGGGGAGCCTGTCGTAGCCCGTACAATGCTTTCTTCAACCTTAGTACTTTTTCTTCATGGCCTTCTTCTACAAACCCCTTTGGTTGTGCTACGTAGACCTCTTCCTCTAGCTCACCGTTTAGGAATGCAGACTTGACGTCCATGTGATGTACCTCCCAGTCTTCTTGTGCCGCTAACGCGTTCAACATCCTTACGGTCTCAAGCCTTGTGACTGGAGTGAATACTTCGTTGAAGTCCACACCTTGCTTTTACACATACCCCTTTGCCATGAGTCGAGCTTTGTACTTGATCACATCACCTTCCAGTTTCTTCTTAACTTTATACACCTATTTCAGACTGATTGTCCGGTGCCCTTTTAGAAGATCAACGAGTTCCCAGGTGTGATTCCTTTGTATGGCTGTAATTTCATCTGCCATAGCTTTCTTTCAGTTGTCACTATCCTTAGCTTCTTCAAAGGTTGTCGACTCCTCGACAGAGAGGAAACACAGTGCTGCCTCTCCTTCCACCTCTCGAGTCTCATCATATATTTCCTGCAAACTACGGTATCTCAAAGGTCTTTCAGAACTTGCTAAGAATTCAGGAGTACCTTCATGTGCAACTATGTTGTTTGTCAGTTCTTGGTGTACTTGTTGGCGTAGCTGTCTCATTGTCGCTTCCTAGAGTTCCACCAATGCCCAAGCTGACCAAGGGGGCTGGAGTTCTCGACTCTTGCTCAGCTTCTGCTTGTGCCGGCTCATAATCCACTGTAAACACCTCATTTGAGTTGTACTCCTTATGACTTTGTGTGGTGGAAGACCCCCAGTTCCATTCTCTATCTTCATCAACGATTATGTTCCTACTCACGTGCAGCTTCTTCTGGTCTGGATCATACACTCGGTACGCCTTTGAACCAGGTTCATAGTCGAAAAAGACCATCGGTACACTTCTATCGGACAGCTTCTTCAAGTGTGGGCTCACTGTTTTGACATATGCCACATAACCAAACACTCGCAAATGTTGGACATTCGGCTTTCTTCCCGTCCATGCTTGATATAGTATCATTCTCTCCAGACTTTGAGTCGGCGCTCGATTAAGCAAATATACCGCATTCCTCATAGCTTCCCCCCAGTATACTACAAGTACATGTTTACTCTTCAATAGACTTCTTGCCATGCCCAACACTATTTGGTTTCTCCTTTCGACCATGCTGTTCTGTTGAGGAGAGTACGGCGTAGTCAGATATCGCTTGATTCCCAGCTCTTTGCAGTAAGAAGTGAATTTATTTGAGGTAAATTCACCTCCCCGATTAGTTCAAAATGCCTTCAGTTTGTTCTCAGTTTTTGTCTCAATACTCGCCTTGAACTTCTTGAAAGCACCAAATGTCTCACTCTTACTTTTTAGCATTACTACCCACATATATGTACTATGATCATCCACTAGTAGCATAAAATATTTGTTACCTGCTAGCATAGCGGGTGTGATTGGGCCACAGAGGTCGCCATGCACGAGTCCAAGCGATCTGTCGGCTCGAAAACTTGTGCTGTGAGGGAAGGAACCTCTGTGGTATTTGCCAATGATTCAACCATCACAGATCTGTCTCACGTGCTCTACAATAGGCATGCCGATCACCATCTCCTTCTGGGCTAACTTCCTCAAGGCTGGAAAGTTCAAGTGCCCATACCGAGCATGCCAACTCCACGCATCATCTCCTAGGCTTCCCATCAAGAACACTGGATAAGCCACCTTGAGGTTGAGCACGTACAACCTATTCTTGGACTTCCTCACGTTGGCCAAGAGCTTGCTGCTCCTGTCATAGATGCGCAGATGACCTCCCTCCATAACTATTTTTCACCTATTTTCATCCAGTTGCCTAAGGCTCATGATATTGCTGCATAGCTTTGGTATATAATACACATTTGTTAGAAGTCTATGCTCACCGTTCTGGCATTGAAGCATGATGGTTCCACTCCCTTGTATCTCCACGACCGAGCCATCGCCGAATTTGACTCTGCCGCACACCTTCTCATCAAGTCTGAGAAGTTCTTCCTACAACCAGTCATATGATTGCTAGTACCGGTATCTAGGTACCAAATGCTAGTCTCGAAGACCACCTCTTCGCTGCTCAGCCTCGGCTTCACATATTCTTCGTAAACCATCATCTTTTCTCCCTCTCCTTGAGCTGTGTATAGAGACTCGCACACCTCGGTCAAGAGCAATGCAGGTTCATCGTCGTGTTGCTTTTTAGCAAGGTGGGCTCTCTTTTCCTTCTTCGACTTTCGGCATTCGGAGGCATAATGACCATAATTCTGATAGTTGTAGCAGTGGATCTTTACCTTGTCGAACTTGTGATACTTCTTTCCAGAGTCGTTTGAGTGTTCCTCAACGCCGTTCCCACATCCCCGGCCATGGTAGCGACCACGACCACCGCTGCGCCGACGACCACCTCCTCCATGCTCGCTCGTTCTAGCCACTGCCAAAGCCCTTACCTCCTTTCTTCTTCGTCTTGGCCTCCCATTCGGCCTAGATCAGTAATGCGTGCTCACCTTCCATGTCGCCAAAACCTCACAGCCGCTCTTCATGTGCCTTGAGCCGGCCAAACACCTCCTCGGTCATCATCTCACTCAAGTCACCGAACTGCTCCAATGTGGAAGCAATTTGCAGAAACTTTGGTGTCACCGCTCGCAACACCTTCTCCATCACAGCAATATCATCCATCTTCTCCCCTATGGCACGTATTTTGCTCACCATCGTGTTCAGCTGCACAACGAACTCATCGACGGACTCTCCTTCTCGCATACGGAGAGCCTCGAACTCTGTCTTGAGGGTTTGCAATTTTTCCCTCGTCACACGATCGGCCCCCACGTACATGGACTTCAATGCAGCCCACGCATCTTTGACCGTCGTCTTCTCGGCGAGGAAAAGAAGGATCTCATCGTTCACCCCCTGGTAGATAACCGCAAGTGCCATCTTGTCGCGTCGGTTGTTGACTCTACCCTCGGCCTCGACGGCGTCCCACACGCCCTGAGCCTGCATGTAGACCTTCATTTTTATGGACCACGTCGGGTAGTTGCTGCTCGTTAGTAGTGGGTATTTAAGTGTAATACTCTCCTCTCTTCCCTCCTTCGTTATCGCTTCTCCGCCGGTGACATGACTTGATGGCGATGGAGACTCCGATCTTTCCATGATCTTAGGCATTCACACACCACGACTCTGATACCAAATGTCGAAAGGAACAGGGTTGCAAAGGCTCAACTTACAGAAACTTTGCAGGAAGGAAACATAGTACTTTATTAAATGATGGAGTGCTTTTACTTGTGTTTCTACCAATCATAGCAAAGTCCAAAATGATGGAGAGCTTTTACTTGCGTTTCTACCAATCACAACAAAGCCCAACTATTTATACACAAGGAAATCTACCAATGGGTGAAGCTAACAAACTCCACAAGAAGCTCTCAACTCATGACTCTTTCACTGCTACAATTTCTCCACGTGGGTGAAGCTAACAAACTCCACAAGAAGCTCTCAACTCATGACTCTTTCACTGCTACAATTTCTCCACAAGACTCGTTCCTCTCTCTCACACAAGAAGCTCTCAACTCATGACTCTTTCACTGCTACAATTTCTCCACAAGACTCGTTCCTCTCTCTCACACACTAATAACTAACAGCAAACAGCTCACCCACACACACAAACACACACTAACATGCAGGCATGACTCAACAAGTTTAACTCAACAATAAATTTGTACATTGGAGGTGTTTGGGCACGAGCACTAGTACAAACTGCAACAGCCCCAACGGTTGTAACCGTTGAGGCTGATCGTGTCCCCAACGGTTAGAACCGTTGGGGCTGCTAAAACGCCCGTTGGGACAAATCCCGTTGGGGCTGATGGTGCCCCAACGGTTGAAAAACTTGCCCCAACGGTTACAACCGTTGGGGCAAAGAAATTTCTTTTTTTTTAAATAAAAATAAAAATACGCCCCAACGGTTAGAACCGTTGGGGCCTTAATCAGCCCCAACAGTTCTAACCGTTGGGGTCTTAATTAGCCCCACCGGTTAGAACCGTTGGGGCAAGTACCTGATTAAAAAAAACAATTATATTCAATATTAATCACTCTTAATAGAGACAAAAACACAATGCATACACACGAAAAGTATAACAAAATATAAAATTTGTATTCATAAGCTTTAATCAAAATTGGATTCTACTATACATCCAAATTTAAATGATTTGCGACGAGATTCTTTTTTTTTTCCAACCAAGCTAAGATTTCATTTAAAAGCAAAGAGTTACATGGTTACGCCTCTCATATTGAGAGCGAGCCTTTTCTGAAGTGAGGCGTCCCTCACTTTTACAAAAGATTACAATATACATGTATGTGAGAATACAAAATTAAGCCATGTGAGCTATACTCTTAGACAATTGATCCTCATACATGCTTCGAGCATTATACATTTCCAAAGCATTATTATAGGAAAAGACAACATTAGCAGGGACCCCATCCAATTCCTGAGTTCATATCGCCAGTGTTCCCTTGTTCCACCTCCCAAAGCCTGTAATTAACTAATTTGATTCTAAATTCACTAAGGGAATAGATAGTTGTTGATGGAATAAAGTACGTATCCGATCAATCTGTTTTGGTTTTTCCTGAAAGATAAAACAGTATAGTGATCAACAATTTTGTTCTATTTAAACTACAAAGTATACTGACATATATTCACATATGAAACTAACCTCATTATTGTCATCACCAATTGTCAAAAAGATCGCTTGTTCATACTCTGTGTATGCTTCCCATATCTTGCCGACTTCAACCACATGCACTCCAGCAGCAGTAAAAGCCCGTTCAAATAAGCTTCTCATTTTTAGGATGTCATCCGGTGCACATTGAGACACCAACTGATCGTATTCTTGAACAAAATTTAACTAATCACACAACGGCACATACTGCATGTAAATGAGGTCGATCACTCAACCTATAAATTACTTCAACAAAATTTATAGTTCAAATACATATAGTTTTATCTTAGAACAGTGAGCCGCATATAAAAATAAACCCTATATGTAAATATAAACCCTGTGCAACAGGTTTACAAATAGGTGCAAGAAGATAGCATCTAATATATGAGTGTTGTCTTTGTCATATTTTCATTTTCTTACTCTATTTATCTGGTGGGATATGATCGTTGAAGCTCTATTCCATCCATCCTCCAACATATTATTTGCCTAGAATCAATATAAAACACAAACACTAGACAAACAATATTAGATGTAAATTGTTTGTAAATCATCATCAAAATAAGAAGGCCAACACTCGGAAGCCACACAATTAATTTCTTATTAATCAAAGAAATTATAATGCAAGAGCAGATCTCAAACTTGAGATCTCTCAATAAATACAAATCTTCATTGTAGCTACATTGAAGATTCTCCTCTCTTAAATACCCCTCTTTAATTCCTCCTCTTTAAATTTCTCTCTTTAACTTTCCTCTAAAATCTCTGAGCATTGGAAATAAAAAGAATCGTGAGAGGAGAGAGAATGAGCTCCATCGTCGCTGAAAGAACACGAGAAGGAGAGGCTAAGGGTTTTCGAGCTCTGGGTTTCCCTTTTAGGGCATCTCCAACCCTTTGCCTCAAAATGGTGCAAATTTTGCACCAAAATGGTGCAAAAGTCACATCTAACAGTAATTCATCTCCAACCCATTGCACCATTTTTTGCACCAAAAAGGAATATTCTCAGTATCTTTCTTTTTATCTACTTTTATATGATTATTTTTTATTCCCTATATTTTTAACTATTTCAACAATTAACCCCACATATCAAATTTTATTTTTTCACATATTTTCCAAACAAAATGATTTATTATTTAAAAATTAAACTAATAAAACAATAAAATATTATTTTATTAATTAAAATAACTTGATTGCTAAAATATTATATTTTTATTATTGATATTGCCAAAATATTACATTCAAGAACATAACAGGAAATAAAATACAAGGAAATAATTAAACATTAACAACAATGTAAAAATTATAAATTTAGTATGCACTTAACTATCTGAATTAGTGTATTCCTCCCATAGATGATCTATCAGCATTACAAAGCGCAATATGAGCATCTTTATCCTTGATTTTTCCGTAACATGTAATAAATTGAGTAAATCTTGTAGTTTCATCTGCTACCATATCAACTTCTGGTGTTGGTGCTTCCCTCACTTCTTGAATTGGTGCATAAAGATCACGTTCATCCTCGATTATCATATTGTGCATAATAATGCATGCAGTCATTATGTCATGTAATACATGTTTTTTCCAAAAACGTGCTGATCCTGCCACGATTGCAAATCGTGATTGGAGAACTCCGAACGCACGTTCTACATCTTTTCTACATCTCCACCACAGCAATGTCATCCATCTTCTCCCCCATGGCGTGCATTTTGCTGATCACCGTGTTCAGCCGCAAAACGAACTCATCGACGGACTCCTCTTCTCGCATACGGAGAGCCTCAAACTCCGTCTTGAGGGTCTGTAGTTTCGCCCTTGTCATACGATCGGCTCCCACATACATGGACTTCAACGCAGCCCACACATATTTGGCCGTCGTCTTCTCGGCGAGGAGAAGGAGGATCTCATCGTTCACCCCCTGGTAGATGGCCGCGAGTGTCATCTTGTCGCGCCGGTTGTCAACTCTACCCTCGACCTCGACAGCGTCCCACACGCCCTGAGCCTGCATGTAGACCTTCATTTTTATGGACCACGCCGGGTAGTTGCTGCTCATTAGTAGTGGGTATTTGAGTGTAATACTCTCCTCTCTTCCCTCCTTCGTTGTCACTTCACCATCGGTGACATGACTTGATGGCAATGGAGACTTCGATCTTGCCATGATCTTAGAGATTCACACACCGCGGCTCTGATACCAAATGTCAAAAGGAACAGGGTTGTAAAGGCCCAACTCACAGAAACTTTGCAAGAAGGAAACAGAGTACTTTATTAAATGATGGAGAGCTTTTACTTGGGTTTCTACCAATCGCAGCAAAGCCCAACTATTTATACACAAGGAAATCTACCAGTGGGTGAAGCTAACAAACTCCACAAGAAGCTCTCAACTCATGACTCTTTCACTGCTACAATTTCTCCACAAGACTCGTTCCTCTCTCTCACACACTAATAACTAACAGCAAACAGCTCACCCACACACACAAACACACACTAACATGCAGGCATGACTCAACAAGTTTAACTCAACAATAAATTTGTACATTGGAGGTGTTTGGGCACGAGCACTAGTACAAACTGCAACAGCCCCAACGGTTGTAACCGTTGAGGCTGATCGTGTCCCCAACGGTTAGAACCGTTGGGGCTGCTAAAACGCCCGTTGGGACAAATCCCGTTGGGGCTGATGGTGCCCCAACGGTTGAAAAACTTGCCCCAACGGTTACAACCGTTGGGGCAAGGAAATTTCTTTTTTTTTAAATAAAAATAAAAATAGGCCCCAACGGTTAGAACCATTGGGACCTTAATCAACCCCAACGGTTCTAACCGTTGGAGTCTTAATTAGCCCCAACGGGTACAACCGTTGGGGCAAGTACCTGATTTAAAAAAAAAATCAATTATGTTCAATATTAATCACTCTTAATAGAGACAAAAACACAATGCATACACACGAAAAGTATAACAAAATATAAAATTTGTATTCATAAGCTTTAATCAAAATTGGATTCTACTATACATCCAAATTTAAATGATTTGCGACGAGATTCTTTTTTTTTTCCAACCAAGCTAAGATTTCATTTAAAAGCAAAGAGTTACATGGTTACGCCTCTCATATTGAGAGCGAGCCTTTTCTGAAGTGAGGCGTCCCTCACTTTTACAAAAGATTACAATATACATGTATGTGAGAATACAAAATTAAGCCATGTGAGCTATACTCTTAGACAATTGATCCTCATACATGCTTCGAGCATTATACATTTCCAAAGCATTATTATATGCAAAGACAACATTAGCAGGGACCCCATCCAATTCCTGAGTTCATATCGCCAGTGTTCCCTTGTTCCACCTCCCAAAGCCTGTAATTAACTAATTTGATTCTAAATTCACTAAGGGAATAGATAGTTGTTGATGGAATAAAGTACGTATCCGATCAACCTGTTTTGATTTTTCCTGAAAGATAAAACAGTATAGTGATCAACAATTTTGTTCTGTTTAAACTACAAAGTATACTGACATATATTCACATATGAAACTAACCTCATTATTGTCATCACCAATTGTCAAAAAGATCGCTTGTTCATACTCTCTGTATGCTTCCCATATCTTGCCGACTTCAACCACATGCACTCCAGCAGCAGTAAAAGCCCGTTCAAATAAGCTTCTCATTTTTAGGATGTCATCCGGTGCACATTGAGACACCAACTGATCGTATTCTTGAACAAAATTTAACTAATCACACAACGGCACATACTGCATGTAAATGAGGTCGATCACTCAACCTATAAATTACTTCAACAAAATTTATAGTTCAAATACATATAGTTTTATCTTAGAAGTTCAAATGGAAGTTGTTCTCTTCATGTGAATGAATATATTTGGAATAGTTCAAATACATATAGTTTTATCTTAGAACAGTGAGCCGCATATAAAAATAAACCCTATATGTAAATATAAATCCTGTGCAACAGTTTTACAAATAGGTGCAAGAAGATAGTATCTAATATATGAGTGTTGTCTTTGTCATATTTTCATTTTCTTACTCTATTTATCTGGTGGCATTCTGTGTGCTCATTAAACATTATGCTTTCTTTTTCTTGATCTTTTTTCTTATGTTTTTGTTTTTGTTATAATAAGCTTCTCTTTGTTTTCTTCTTATTTCATTTTTTTCTCTCTTCCGACAAAGCTGCATAATGGTTTCTCCTATTTTTATTTCGTTCTAGTTCAATCTCAATTGGTGTCGAAATTACAAATTATCCTTGGAAAAAGAAAAATTGTAAACACACTTATTTCAGAAATTATTATAAAGTCTGTAGCAATGAGAAAAGATATATACTACGAAAACCAGGAAACAAACAAATCGTATAGAAGTTAATTGAAAGAAAATTACTAATACCAACAATATAGAAGTCTTGCAGAAGCCCCAACATATGTCAGACCCTATAGAAAGAAACTGCAAGAGAAGGAGAAAAAAATTAAACAGGGGGGAGTTTTCTAAAAGATCTTGTTACACAAACATTCCAAATGAAAGTGCCTTTCCAGATATAGTATAGAACAGAAATTAAGGTGCAAACACAAATGTATACTTCATATGTTGTCTACTAGTTACTTGTGGAACAAAATGTACAGTAGCAGAAAGCTCCTTAGAGCTTTTTCACAATTCAAAGCTGTAAATTATAAGCGTAAGATATATTATTGAACTGGTAAAAGAAGTGAAGAAAAAGTGAGCAGATATGTAAGTATCTGATTTCAAAATGTCAAATATAAAAAAAAACTACATAAACTTACAATATATTATACTCAGGATAGCATGACATTGTTGCAAACAGAGTAGCACCTAATTTTTATAAAACTTTACAAGGTCATAAAATTTATCGGCTAATTAAGTATTCTTTATGACGTAACTTTTTATTGTTGCAGACTTGTCACGGATTGGGTTATTGCAGTGCTTGCTTTGAAATTCTTAGTGATGAGAATATAGGGATCTAGACATGTTTCTTATGAGCAGAAGGCACATACATGGTAATATTTGTATAAACTCAAATATCAACACAAGTAATCATTATCGTTTTATCATAGTTCGATAAATTGACATTAGTTCACGTTCGATATAAATTAAACATGAACTTGATTTGCACAAGTTTTTTATTACCAGAAGGTACATACATGCTAATATTTATATTGACTCAAATTTAATTCAAGCAGAAAACATTACCTCCTATTTAAGGAAACTTCATCTTTGGCTCATTCCTCCCACCGTTATATGATTAACATGGAGAAATTTGTCAGACTTGCTTGTAGTATGATGTAAATGGATGGCCGCTACTCTACTCATGTATATATTACCTCTATGTCAATAACATACCTAGCAAATATTAAGGAGCACAATTTTGTATTAAACATAGGATGGTCATAGCATGCTTTAGAGGTCGTGAAAAAGAAAATGGACACTGTTCAACAAGGTTACTAATCAATATGCAAAAGGTATAACTTGGGGGGGGGGGCGCTAGTGAATGTGCCACATGAGCTAAGATGGCTCTTACGGAAAAATTAGACATGGAACTGAAGCAATCAAAATTAGTGGCTGACTTTATGATGATGAGGTTCGTCAAATCTTGCTAAAATTAATAAGAATGTGTACATAAATAAAGCAATGGCATTGTGGCCAAGACTCTGAGGTGATTGTGTCCAAATTAATTTCCCGCACCAAAATTTCATATACTAGATAGATTATTCATAAATTCCTCTCTTTCTTTAGTTAATTTAAACATTCCAGGCTCAAAAAATCCACCAAAAGAGGTAAATATTTAGAACAAACTTACAATTTATAAGGATCAGCTCCTGTGAACCTAGTCGGCTTCTCAATCGGAATCAATACCTACACATCCAATCAGAATTCACAACAAAATGGCAGCAATCAATATTTTCAATGTTTTTGAACAGTCAATTGCTAAAGGTATCACCAAGGATAATAAAGATATGCAGGGCTTTGGTGCGTCAAAGCCTTGAATCTCAATCTCAGTGAACAGTTGAAAATTCCCTCAAAACACCTCAACTTTTTTATCTTCCCATTTCTCTTCATTTAAGACATCTTCACAGACATTAAGAACAAATAAGCTAATCAATCTAGACTCAAATAATCGGTAACAATCGAAAAAAACCCGAAAATCTGATCAATTACCCTATAAACGAAAAAAAACCCGATTACAAAATCTGATCAATCGTACCTCACGATTAACCGCAAAGATCGGGCAGTGGCGGCCGATCACATCGTGCCAAACCGTTCTCAACTGAAATCACACATTGTCAATAAAAAAATTAAAGTGTAGAAGAGAAGAACCGACGAAAAGGAGAGGATTAGGGTTTTGAGACGTTACTCCGTGGTATTGGCCGGCTTTGCTCTTGGGGATGATGTCTCCAGGCCTGTAGGCGAGAGAGATGGGAGTAGATTTGAGATCGAGAGGATGAAGAAGAGGAGAACGAGGGTTTGGGTTTTTTGATGTGTGAGAGAGACAGAGAACGGGGCAGGTGTGGGGGGGTTTTGTTTTGTTTTTTCAAATTTCGTCAAAATAAAGGGGGAATTTTCCCTCCGTTCTGTTTTTTGGCTAAAAGAACTTGCCCCAACGGTTTTTAACCGTTGGGGCTTGTGCGACCAGCCCCAACGGTTGGACACCACCGTTGGGGCTGAACCTCTTTTTACTAGTGTGAGAGAGAGGAACGAGTCTTGTGGAGAAATTGTAGCAGTGAAAGAGTCATGAGTTGAGAGCTTCTTGTGGAGTTTGTTAGCTTCACCCACTGGTAGATTTCCTTGTGTATAAATAGTTGGGCTTTGCTGCGATTGGTAGAAACCCAAGTAAAAGCTCTCCATCATTTAATAAAGTACTCTGTTTTCTTCATGCAAAGTTTCTATGAGTTGAGCATTTGCAAACATGTTCCTTTCGACATTTATCATCTTACTGGTGGTATTTTGATCCTCCCCAAATGTTAAGATACTTACATAGTGCGCGTATAGTTTCGCATTGGAAAGGATAAGAAAGAGTTATAGAATTTACCGTGGCTAGTGCTTGATAGCTTAGTGTTTGGGTAATTTGACTTTAGCCAAATAATCTCTTTCCTTGCTTCAGTGGCTGCAGTATATTCAATTGCTAACTTGGCAGTGACAGCCATCTATTGCAGCTTATAAATTAAGCACTCACCATTGAGTCACTTACTATATATGAAAATGCAACAGAGACCATATTATTTACCCTTATTTTCATTAACCTGACCCCTACGTGTCATCATGCCTATCGACTTATCGGACCGGTTTTTTGTTTTAGTTTTAGTTTTGGGGTTCTCATCCCCAATCTCTCAGTACTATGTTTTTCTATAAATTAAGTTCCACGAAAAATAATCTTCAATGTTATATTTTAACTGTAAAAGAGTCACCTTCTCCAAACCATCTGATCATCATTGGATAATTGTGACTTATTCCAAATCATTGCTCTACTAGACGACCGATTATGATTGAGAAAGTTGTCTCTCTAATATTTGTTGCATCTGTTCGCGATGAAAGGATCAGAATTCGCATCTCCACAGGATAGTCGTCCCTCTACCCTATAATAAGAGGTTACAAGTCAAGACAAATTGCTCATATCACTACATAGAAGTCACTAGAGAAAACGCCACACTTACCCGACTGCACAACACCATTGACAAGATTGTCCTATCTTCAGATCATCAAGTATCAAAGCCTCCAATTACAAGTGCATCACGTTCATGCTAATAAAGAAAAAGATAGGGGGGGAAAGCAAAGTAGTTAGCTCACTTGGAGAACAAGTAGGGGTGCTGTAGAGAACCGTTTTGTAATCATTTGAAAAAAAAAAGAAAAAAAGAAAATCAAAGGTTTTGTAATTCTAGCCCTAACCCATGTTTCAATTAGGTAAATTAATGTTCTAAATAGGAATAAATGTGATAGGAGTTATAGAATGCAAAGGGACTTTGAAACCCTAAGTAAATCAATCCCTCATAACTTCATGGACGCAACCAAAAGAGAAAAAAACAGAGCTTTGGAAGAATTAGAGAAATGAATTTAGGACGAAGGCTTCAACAAGGTGAGTGTTTTATTTTTATTTTTATTTTTAGTAATGAATTCTTGTAGAAGAGAAAGGAAATAGTACCTTTTCCGGCCACCAGCGTCACCACCGACGATGTTCAGTGATCTCCGATCAAATCATGGACCGGACCTTCGCCAGCGGTTCAAACCCTAGCCACCGATCCCAAATCCCTTCTTGAATGAGTTCAAATTTATTGAGAAATCAAAGAGTGGACATGGGGTTAAAAGAATAAACAAAGATCTTTAGTCTAAACCCTTGAGTTTCTAAAAAATTAACTTCTAGTCCAAAAGAGAGAATAATTCTAGAACATTATCCATGTTGTAGAAAATTAGTTTTAAGTCCAAAACTTTATAAAAACAGGTCCTTACGAGAACTAATTGTGAAATATTAATCTTAGCCCTTAGACTAGAAAGTTTTGTTGTAAGTGCAAATTTTGCTTTAAAAGAAAGATAAACAAAATTTTAGGAAACCCCTAGACCCTAGAAATATCAAAAATTAGTTTTGGGTCCAAAAACTGATAAGGAGATATTTCTAAATAAAACCTATTTAATGAAAATATTTCCTTTGAGTCCTTAGTTAAATAAAGTTTACTATTAGATTCTCTAGAATAAAAAAATAGAAACAAGTTTCAGAAAAATCCTAGAAACTAGAAAACCCTAGTAGTATACTCAAAATAGTATGTGCATGAAATCTTTTGTATTAGATATTTATACATCTTGTATGATTATAGGTTTGATCAAGGAGTAGGTTGTTGGAGTACGGTTCTCCAAATTGTTATCAAATATTTTAAGGTGAGTAGAATTTTTCTCATTGGTTATTTTCTATTATATATTATTTAAATGATAATTTTATTTTTGTATAGAGAAATAATGGATCACACATGTTATTCTGTTCAATTATAGTAATTGTTAACAAACGTGAATGTGATAGCTATTTATCTTTTACAAGATAAATATTGTTAAGTATATGAGATTATTGAAAATTTATCATTTCAAATTCAAAAATCCCATCTCTCAGCAAAAGCTCATGAATTAAATAAAGAACACAAGCAAGAGCCAAAATCCCAAGCCCAGAATCAAGCCGAGTAGCTTGTAAAAGCCGAAGAAAATAAAAAATCAAATATGAAAACAAAATGTATTCAAGATGGTTGGCCGTAAAGAAAAGACGATATCTCTCAATCCGGAAGGTGGAATTTAACATATAATATATAAAAATCGCCTATCTCGACAAGACGAAGCCATCTGCGGAGGCGGATTTTTGATTGGACATCGATGCCAACATCGATGCTGGCATCGATACCAGCATCGATGCCAGCATCAATGCTGGTATCGATACTGACGAGTCAGTTATGCTGGCATCGATACCAGCATCGATGCCAGCATCAATGCTGGTATCGATACTGACGAGTCAGTTACAGATCAATGGCTGATTTTTGATGGTTTTGGATAATGATTCAATCCAAAGGCTCTCATTCACTGATGTTTACTATAAACAGGGGTAGAGAGTAAGGGGTTAGGGGTGTAAAAATTTTTATAACTCCTTTTGGAGAGAAGGGCTACTCTTAATTGAGAAGGTCTTCCAAATTTGTAACTTTTTATTACAATTAATAAAAGAATTTTTTCACCACTTTAATTTTTTTTCTTCTCTTTGTTGGATGATAAAGATGAAGATGAAGATGGAGATTAATTTGAAGGTTTGTTTTTCTTATTTCTCTTTTATTACTTATTAGTTTAGATTTATTTTCATGCTTGTAATTAGATTTTTTTTTCTTGTTTAAATAGCCAAGAGGCTAGAACCCTCTTGCCTTAGATTTATTTCATGCTTATAGAATAGATTTATTTCATGCTTATAGAGTAGATTTATTTTCTTGCATTTAATTCTTACAATTTATTTTATAGTTTAGATTTTGTAATTTATTTTGTAGTTAGATTTTAATTTCTTATACTATTCACCTTGAGGCTAGAACCCTCTTGGGTTTAGTTTTTCTTTTTGTTTATTTTTATTTTTTTGATTCATCTTTAGGCTAGAAGCCTCTAGGGAATCGCCCTTTTCTAAGAAGTGTGTTTAATTTTAGATTACACATATCTTTAATTGAATTCATAATCTTTACTTTCTAAAATTTTATTTTTTATTCTTTATTTTTATTTGTTTCATGATTTTTCCTTCTTGCCTTGTTGATCACATTTTTTTATCACTTTCACTCTCAAATATATTCATTTACACAATCATTTTTATTCTCTCCATCTCTCCACAATCATAATTATTCTTCACTCCTATTTGTCACGCACACAACATAAGAACCGAATTTATATTTTCTTCTATAAAACACCTTCCTCGTAGGATCGATAACTTTTTATACTATAACTTGACACGGTTGTGCACTTGTAACATTTTTGGTACATGTTTATGTCGCATCAAGTTTTTGACACCGTTGCCGGGGAGGGTGCTTAAGTAGGATTTTATTTAATTTGGTTCTTTAACTTGTGTGTTTTTTGTGAAGGAACCGCTTGGAGCTTGAAGATCGCGGATTGGAGATCTAGAACTTGGAGAATTGCTTTTAGGTAACTCTTCTTTCTAGTATTTTTAATTCCATCCTTTTTAGTTAGCTTCACAATAAGAGATAATTAGGATTAAAAAAAAGAGGGATTTTATTTTTTTGTTGACCATAATAAAATTCACCTTTCACTTGGATATTAACTAACAAGATAATAAACTCAAATAATGTTCACCCTTCTCATAGTTGTTTGATTGTTAACTCTAATAAAAAAATATAAAGATTTTTTTTCCATCTTTTTTAGTCGCTTTTAATTCATAGGGTTACATTGCATATAGTTAGTAGGAATTCACCAAAGTGATTTGAGCATCTAGATTTGGCACACACTTTAAAATATTTTTAAGGGCAAAACCCCATAATCAAGATAAGGAGAGGGATTTCATCACCCTTTCCTTAGCCTAAAAATTACTAATTCCTCACTACACCACCCAAGCCTAGTAAAACTCATTAGACGTTGGCCCTAAGGATTCGAGCTCAATAAGGAACAAAGAATCCTTAAGTGAACCGATTTAAGTTTTCTTGGATTAGTTGGTGTCTAAGGTAAGATTTAGGGGTTGCGTAAAGCGCTCCGTAAGGAACGAGGTACTTAATTGATCTCTGATCACCCTCTAGTACTATCCTTACCTGGCTGACTACTCGAGTAAAACTTTAATCTTTTCACTTTAGGAGTTTTGGTTAGGAGCTGGTCTAGTTGAGTTAGGCTTAACCCTAGAGTTAGAGTGATTGAAAAGTGATTGCTTTTGATTTGTTTTAGTTAGGATTTTCCTTTTTCTTCTCATAATAAAACTAATTTTTTCCCTTAAAAAATTATAAAAAGAAGTTGTTTTTGGTGTATGCAAACGTGGATTAGGGTTAATACACATCGATTAATTCGTTTTGAACAAATTCCAGAAATGGCATATCCTAATTCACTCGTTCTTCAAGATATGTGCTATCCTACTAGGAATGCAATCCCCTCTTGCATTAGGCTCCCCGAGGCAAATGGAACTAACTTTGAG